TCAAAGGTTTCCAAAGAGCCTGTATAGCTCATAGTGATGTTTGCATAAAAAAATATAAGAATATTTCCTATAAGTTCCGACAAACCCACAACTATTATTATTAAATGATATATATATATAAAGCGCGTTATCTAATTAAAAAATATACACAGAGCGCTTGACACAATAACAAAATTAAGATTATAATTATATCAATGCAACTAAAATATGCTACAAAAGATAACACAAAAATGGCTAAAAGGTATCCTTTAAGGGTATTAATTCCTATAACGAAATACTTGAAGATTTCGGCAATTTTTTTTATTCGTGTATCTTATTTCGATGATTTATAATAGACTAAGGTGCCCGGAACAAAAGACTTTGGTAAAAGACAACGGAGTTCCACAAAAGATGACAGAGAAAGACGCTAAGTGATGGGAATAGGTCAAACTAGCCCTTTAGGCAAGGTTAGCTAATCAAAATATGAACACGATTTCCCTCTTGTTGATACTGTCTTTTATCATGAAGAAGCGTCTGTACAAATTTTGCTAAATTTGATAAAAACAGTACTAAAGTTTATGACGTTTGATAAAATGTTTAATTTAACCAATGCACTGTCTGATCCGGAATGTTGACGTGCAAAAAGACGGAATGCCGGATTTTTATGCATCTCTGCACTCGAGAACAAAATAAATATGCATCGTACTTAAACCTCATGTAATCATTTTCTACTCCCTTCCGTCAATTCGTTTAATGATAAAAAATGTTTTTCTAGGCAAAGATGAACATAGTTAACTGTTACCCGAAATTTCATTCAATTGCTTGTAAACTATTCATTTATATCTGGGATTACCGACAGTCGGGAATGAGAGACACTAATGAAAGAACAATTAAAAAACATTTATTCGTCTTTCAGATTTGAATGTTACTAAGGTAATCATCAAGAATTAAACTAGTACCCTGTTTTTTATTTACCTCCACAAGTAGAACAAATGGTCAGGAATCCAATTTCAGCAATAATATACATGTGTATGAATACGCTTTAAAGTGTAACTTACAATGTTTTTTAAGATTAAGATATACAGCCTATAAAAAGTACAAAACACAGAGGAAACTCATTCTCCAATCATATTATAATTACATTTAAAAAAAAAACACAAACAAAAGAAAGCCAGCTAAAAAATATACAGGAACATGCAAAAATAAAAAAAGGAACTGCATCAATGTATATATAAGTGAATTGGCAGATGTCGAAAAAGAAACAAGAGGCTCCTAGGGGCCTGAATCGCTCATCTAGCAAAATTATTTATTTTAAATTTTATTGAAATCAGTTACGTATGCTAGTTTGTGAATAATATTAAGTTGCATTTTTAAAGATTTCATTTTTGATCATTTTGTATAATTGCTTACAACTAAATTTTTCGAGTTTTCGAAAATCGTAAATGTAATGGTAATACATTCTATAAGGAGTCTGACAATATGACCATGTTGACTAACTTGTAGATCTTATTTTACTGATTTTATTAGCTTTCTAAATCTTCCATAATGTTTGCACAATACAAAAAAGTGATAAAATTCATCATTCAGGGGAAATAACTTCAATAAGGAGTCAGTTGACAATTTCGACCATTATGACTAATTTTTAGATCTTCATGTGCTGAATATTTTTGCTAGTACTGTTTCTCTCTGTCTATTACGCATGTTACGGTTTCGGCAGAAAATGGAACACTTGCTAAATATCATGAAAAAAAAACAGTCACTTCTCAAATATTTCAACAATATTGACTTATTTGCAGATGTTATTTTGCTGATAATGTTTGCTTTATGTTGTTGTGCTCTAGCTATCACAGTTTCTCAAAAAAAAATCATGAAATAGGTAATAATGATCTTACCTACTAAGAAGAGAAAGTTGACAATTTCTGCCATGACATATTTGTAGATCTTATGGTAAAATTGAGAATTGAAATGGGAAATGTGTCAAAGAGACAACAACCCGACCACAGAGCAGCAAACAGTGCTTATTATCTTTACTTTTATACATTTTTGTCTATCTATGAAGCTGCATGCATATATTGCGAACAGTTTAAAAACTATTATCATGATTATGGTAATAACTCTTATGAGGGGTCAACTGATGACATCAGTCATGTTGACAATTTGAAGATCTTATTTGATGAACATTTTTGCTATTTCATTTTCTCTTTGTCTATTATGGTTACTGCAAATAATTGATAAAAATTATATTTCAAGAGCAATTACTCCATGAATGATTCAATCGCCAACATCTATCATGTTTAGTTATTTGTAGACTGCAAAAGTGGTCAAAACGATCATTCAAAGCCAATAACTCTTACAAGGGATCAATGGACGATTTCGTCCATGTTAACTTATTTGTAGATGATATTCTGATAATTTTACATTTGTGTACAATTTCTATCTATCTGATTATACGTGCTAAAAACTTCGAAATTTGCAAAAACACTGACCTGCTAAACTATTTTATCCATGTCGTTTGCTCCAACTGCTTTACTTTTGACATATAAGCCAATAATGTAAACTTTGCTAAACATTGAAATTTCAGGGACATCAACTCCGAAAAAGGTTGTCTAATTTTCTGACAATCACATTTGAGATAGACTTTCACATGTTTGACCTGTTAATTATCACCTTGTCATTTTTGCTTTTACTGCCTTAGTTTGTTTTGAACAGATATATCATGTTGAGGAGTGGTATTTGCGAAAAATACCAGTCGAGAGAATGTTAAATTTCGCGAGCCGTAAGGTGTTTTTTGCAAATACCCCTCAAGAACATGCTATATCTGTTTAATTACACCGAATGTTAACGTTCAAAAACGCATTGATGATCGTGACGTTACAAGCGTCAAGTCGGATAGAGTATTTTTTGGCAAATACCACGACAGAGAGGGTAAAAAAGGCATATCCTTTTTGCATATACCCCGGCGGCGTTAAAAAATGAACGATATTCATTTGATAACAGTAAATTGGTGAAAAATACACTGGCTATCAACCAATCAAAACCCAGGATTCTTACATAAGGTGTAATTATAAATATAAGCCACCAACTACGCTTCACAAACATGTTATATTTTAGAAACTGCGGCCATGTTTGTTGAAGGATTAGACTCAATGTGTATACTAGATTCCCTAAGGAATAATCATGTTAAGTACGACAATATCAACCCGGTTGTTTTGGAACGTAAGGTAAAACAAAAATAACGAACTCCAAGGTGAATTAAACAAAGGAAAATCCATAAAACTGAAGAAATCAAACGCTATCAATCAACGGAACAAGAGAACAACAACTGCCACATTCCTTACTTGGGAGTGGCAAAGGAGATTATTTTTAAAGTTTACGATGACAGACGGTCTACGGATGACGACAACGGACGCCATGGGACGACAGCAGCTCGCGTGGCCTTGTATGCCTTTTATTTGTGAGTTAATTCAGAGGTGCAGTGAAAGAACATCAACTAATTTCAACTTTTATCAGTAAGTTAATTAAGTTTAGTACATAATTTATGTAACTCCATTTCTGGTATGTTAACCACTTTTAAAAAAATAATTGTGAAATAAAACTGATCTTCACATGAGGCAACATATCAAGTTAGATAGAAGTATACAAGGTGTAGAAAATACAACTAAAGAAAATTATTCCAAAACGAATCACACTGTTTTTTAAGTCACGTGTTATCTTAGAAGGATACACAATCATTTAAAGTAAATACAATGTGTTTCAAGGCACGTGTGGTTACAATTTTGTTTTAATGATAGTAGGGGAAGTGCATGAAATGTGTGGATTTCTGCAACCTCTCAAGTATGAACAAAATGTGCTAAACCTTATAAAAATTGTCTACAAAATAATTTGAAGTCAGGAATATGACAGTTGTTGTCCATTCGTTTGATGTGTTTGTGCTTTTGATTTTGCCATTTGATTAGGGACTTTCCGTTTTGAATTTTCCTCGGTTCAGTATTTTTGTGATTTAACTTTTTGATGGATGGTAAGCCCTATGTGGCACCGTTAGAGTCCACAATTCCTCTAAAGTCCAAAACACCGCTAAAGTCCTTTACAAATTTCCGCTAAAGTCCACAAACTTTCCGCTAAAGTCCACAAAATGACCTCCGCTAAAGTCCACAAAAAAAAAACCCGTTTAATTCCACAATAACAAGTTCCGCTAAAGATCACAAAAAACACCGTTAAAGTCCACACAACTTTTTTTTTTAATCCCGATGGTATAGATTTAATAAAAGCATGGACTTCTGTTCTTGGAAAGTATTTCTTATCCGCTTGAATTATATTTTTGATAAATGAAAAGATTCTGATTTTGATCCCCATAAAAGATCTTTGTATTGTGATTTTCTATGAATCAAACAGGCAACATTTCTAAAAAGTTATCTAGCTATGGCGCTCTTTTTGTATTTTCTTTGGTAACCATTTATTCACACTGACATATCTTGGAGCCTATATTTGACATTGAAATTTCGTTTGCAAATATCTTTGCAAATATCTATAAAACATAAGAACGAAATCCATTCAGTTTCTGTTATGCTCCACAGCAGCCAAAACGGTCCCTTATTCCAAAAACAGACTTTAAACCATAATGTTCTTGTTTGAAATCAAAATAATGATAAATAAAAGAATTCCACACATGCATTGTGTGGTGCTAAGCAGATTTCGATCACTCATTAGTTTGCATGTTTGTTTGGTTTTCAAAAAGGAAAATGTATTTGTTTCAGAATGCGTTGAAGATGAATTTAATACATTATACGCAGATGCGGTTCTGTATTATGTCTTACCCATGATGAATACAAGTATAAAAGATTTGCGCACCTTTTTAGAATGAAGCGCGGAAGCGCTTCATACAAAATGTACTTCGGTCAACGCTTTTACACCCCAATGAATTTACAAAAAGAATCATTCAATTCTTAAATACAGGCATTTGTTAAAATCTTAAACTAATATTGTTACAATTACATGAATAAAGAGAATAAGCGAACATTCAATCAATTGAAATGAATTATTTATTTTCTTTTTTGGCACTCTCGCCCACAAGGAACATTAGATTTTTTACATTTACATGTTTTGGTCATGCATATTCCTTTCCATTTACATTTTCTAGTAAAGTTCCTAAATATTCTAAAAACTTTTCTTACCACATTATGTTTACTTCCAATAACTTCAATTTCAGCGAGCATAATTCAATTTCGTGTATTACAGACATGCTAAATACAGAAGATTACCATATCAAATGAACATGACTTTTTTGAACAATTAGAATTTTAAGTTTTTATTTCAATTGCAATTGAACTTTTTGTATTAATTTAAGATTTCAGTTATGTTGATCTGTAATGTACATTTGTATCTAATACACAAAATTAGGCAGACCGTACGCGTACAGTCCGACCGTAAGCGTGTTTTGAAAAAGTACGCATTCGCTCCAGACCGTACGCGTACGGTCCAAATACTAATATGGTCTGGAACATATATGTTGTAGGTCACTGTAAAACAATTTGAAGATGCAAATTTGATCAAAACACTCTAAAAAAAATTGGCGGAACTTGCATAAACTAGGTTTCAGATTTAGATGAGAAAATCATCAGACTCTAATACCATGAACTAGCAGATTACTTTAAACAAGACCTTTGACCACCTACTTTACTTCCGGTTAATCAGTTAATAGGTCGAATGACCTGGTAGGCAAACATTTTCAATTGACAACATCAAAATCAAAATATTACTCTGATATCAAGTTTGCCATGAATTACTAAACAAATCAAAGTGGCTGCTCGTGTCTTAGTTCCTTCCCTTGATTTGTTTGGTATAAAAAAAATAGGAAAGGCGATCAACATTACAATCGTTTTTTGGTTCTATGAAAATTGATAATAATGAAGTATAGAATGAACATTCAAATTTAATAAACAACAGGAAATTCTGTACAACATATACATATCTAAATATTATTAAAACTAGAGTATCATGTGATCTTAAGCTTGTATCGTTCACTTGACCTAAATATGATCATTGTTGGTTTTAAGGAACACATAGTTTAAGCTTTTTCTATTGAAGCGTATTACTTTAGACCTCTAGTGCTCGGTCCCCATGGACATGCATTTCTTTAAACTAAAATCTTCACGTCCATTCTACTGAAGCTTCGTAGGAAAATCTAACATCTTACATAGCTTACATGACCAATAGGGTCATGTACTTGACTTGACTTTCAACCGTACAATAATGGCTTGGATATAACCCTTTACTCATAATCTTAATCGAAATTTACATCTTTAGGACCCTGTACCGTACACATTCTCAGTAAACAATCATGTACTTCGTTATTGGTGAACAAGGTAAATTCAAAACTAAATTAAATGTACGAATACTCAGAATTCTTATCTAACTATTTCAATCGTGTTAAAAAACTAACACTGTCTTTTATAATAACTAGCAAGTAACTGATAGACAGGCATTCTGCATTAAATAAATAAAAATATAACTTCTTCCTCGTTTTGTAAAAATCAACATAACATTATAATGTTATTGTTTTTTACAATTTTTTAGTAGTTCACCTACTAATTTTATCAAATTGTAATCACTTTAATCACATCAAATCCAATGTACGGATGTTCCAGACCATATGCGCATTTAGACCATACGCGTATATGGTCTGGACCGTAGACGAATTTATTCAAAATACGTATACGGTCGGACCGTACGCGTGCCGTCTGCCTAATTTTAAGAAATGTGTCTAATCTAGAATTAAAAAATGAAATAAAAACTTTAAACAAATTCAAAACCCACGCTACATTGTAACTTTATCAGTTAATCTCCTGTATTAAGTATGAAATTGAGTTAAAATGCTCACTGAAATTGAAGTTATTTGAAATACAAATAATGTTGGAAGATAAGTTTTTAGAAAATTTAGGAACTTTACTACAAAAAACGTCAAGCCAGCTGTTTACTTGTGAGATTGATAGAATTAAACTGAAATGCTTAATATATAGTTTTGACAGTTTCTCAGATATTATAAGTGATATTAAAGTCATGTATACATCTTGTGTATTGAATGGTTAAAAGGTGTACATGACTGTCTGTCTGGTCTGTGTCATATTTCCTTGACCTTATTTAATGGTTCATTAGTCAAAGTTCTTATTTCTTGATGATGTTTGCTTCCGAGATACTTTAAGCGATGGATGAATTTATACGGCCTCCATGTCTGTCTGAAAAGATTTATCTCACCTTGACATCATGTTCATTGATCATTGAATTGATAATTGTTGTAAAAAAAATTGTTCACTTTCAAATAACTTCAATTATAAACACTAAAACAGGGAAGACATTTAAGTGTGTCCAGTCTTGTTATAATAATTATGTATACAATGTAGGTTCTTAAATACGTTAATCCAATAGCAATTATCAATACAAAAATATTGGATGGAGAGTGGTCTCATTGGCACTCATACCACATCTTATTTACACAGGTACATGGGGTCATGATGATGTACCCTATCCTCCCCCTTTTTTACGAGGCAATATTTTGTCAAAGTTCTGATTTCAAGCCATTTATACAAATAACGTTTACCTATCTATTCCTGGTCATCTATACTGATATTTTTACTTATTTGTGCTGTTTTACTATCCAGCTATTTTTATATCGGCAAACTATATAAAAGTTGAAAAAATAGCTTGAGGGGAGTTCCGGATACATTAGTCTGTCGGAATTCCAATGGGAACCAATTGTGCCCCTCTTCTTGCCGACTTGTTTCTTTATTATTATGAGGCTGACTTCATACAAGAGCTTCTTAGGAAGAGAGATAAGAAGTTAGCAATATCCTTTAACTCTACGTTCCGCTATATAGATGATGTTCTCTCACTAAATAATACAAAATTTGGTGACTATGTTGAACGAATCTATCCCATCGAACTAGAGATAAAGGATACTACAGATACAGTTAAGTCTGCCTCATATCTTGACTTACATCTAGAAATTGACAATGAGGTTCGGTTGAAAACAAAACTTTACGACAAAAGAGATGATTTCAGCTTCCCAATTGTGAACTTTCCATTTCTATGTAGCAACATTCCAGCAGCGCCTGCATACGGAGTATATATCTCCCAATTGATACGATATTCCCGGGCTTGTGTTTCCTATCATGATTTCCTTGATAAAGGATTGCTGCTCACAAGGAAGCTATTAAACCAAGAGTTCCAGATGGTGAAGTTGAAGTCATCCCTTCGTAAATTTTATGGACGCCATCACGAGTTGGTTGACCGTTATGGAATAACCGTTTCACAGATGATATCGGATATGTTCCTTATGTCGTAACTACAATACTCTTCCCTTTTCACGAATGTGACTTACCGAATTAGACTATTTACCGGATTTGTAATAACATAAGCAACTCGACGGGTGCCACATGTACGCAGGATCTGCTTACCCTTCCGGAGCATCTGAGATCACCCCCAGTTTTTGGTGGGGTTCGTGTTGCTTAGTCTTTAGTTTTCTATGTTGTGTCATCTGTACTATTATTTGTCTGTTTGTCTTTTTATTTTTGGCCATGACGTTGTCAGTTTGTTTTCGATCTATAAGTTTGACTGTCCCTCTGGTATCTTTCGTCCCTCTTTTATTATGACCCCATGTCCATGTGCTTATGTTTAGTAACAATTCTATTAAAACTAGCAAAATCGAATTATATGTCGAATTTCTTGTCGGTGCTCATGTTTTTAAACATCAACATAAAAAAAAACATTATTAATAACATGTCCCGAGACTTTTGCTCTGTACATTTATAGTGACGTAAAAAAGTGATTATATACAAAGAATAAAAAAAACAGTACTTGAAGAATGCAGTAATTATGTAATAACTAACGAATTTACTATGACTAGATAACTTTTTAGAAATGATGTCCAAATTGGCCTGTTTGATTCATTGAACGGATCATCATAATACAAAGATCAAATTAATGGAACAAAATCTTCTACAGATACTGTACTTTTTTTCATTTATCAAACTGATAAAAAATAACTACCAAGAACAAAATCCCATGCTTTGTATTGTACTACCGGGATAAAAAAAGCGAATTGATATTCTAATAATAAAAAAAGTAGTGTGGACTTTAACGGTGTTTTTTGTGGACTTTAGCGGAACTTGTTATTGTGGACTTTAACGGCGTTTTCTTGTGGACTTTAGCGGAGGTCATTTTGTGGACTTAAGCGGAAAGTTTGTGGACTTTAGCGGCGTTGTGGACTTTTCCGGAAATTTGTTGTGGACTTTAGCGGTGTTGTGAACTTTAGCGGAATTGTGGACTTTAACGGTGCCACAGCCCTATCTCACTGTAATTTTATATTTGGGTACACAATCAATACTTTAACATACATTTAACTATCACTTAATAATATATAATTATGACTATTCAATGTATGCAGTCTTATTTCATTTGATTACAATTTATTTACTCTTCCAATTTTTTTTTATAGCAGACTGTGTTCCATGTATACACATATACATTTTGAAAGAATTTGTACACTATATACATTCATGATATATGCAATGTTTAAACCTTAATCACCACTATAGTGTAAAGGTCATGAAAGGGGTAAACCCAGTGAGACGCCTTTTTGGCCGCAAATGTAGCTTTTTTACACATTTATTAAAATTGTAAACTTTTAACTATTTATTGGATAGTAGAATACTTTTGTTCCATATATATGGGCTGTTTTTTTAACAATACAGTGCACATGCATCAAGTACTAGCACCATTCATTCGTGCAAAATTACTGAAATCTTCACAATGTTAGCATTTGTGCTTATTTTTAAGTTTTATCCAAAATGGAAGTGACCGCACTTATGTTCAGTCTTACTATGTATGTATATGTTGTGTTTGATAATTTAAAACACTATATATATAGTTTGAGACAAAACACAAATGCGGCTACTTACATTTTGGTCAAAAACCGTCTGAAAGTGACGTTTAATGGCATATTTGAAAGATTTTTCATATTTAAGCTTGAATTTGAGCGTCTTTAATGACCAAATCAGTTTAAATCTTTTACATAAACTAATTGAATCGTCTGAAGTAGACACTTACGTGTTTTAAAAATGTCAAAAATCTTTCTTTGGATGTACTTCAAATTTTAAGCAAAATTTTGCTTTTACCGGACCTTCTCCTTTGTTTACATTTTGTTTAAATTATTGAGGACTTGAAAGTCGTGGAATCCTTGTTTCAAACTGAAACCCATACTGGTCCAACTTTTACCCTGTATCAACATGTTGCTGCTTGAACTGTATGCAATTTGAAACTATTTTTTAGGAAAAGCACACGTGTAAGAATAGGTTGTGGAATGCAACAGTTTAAACTTCAATGATTCTTAAAACTGCAAATACCATTTTTGAGAAACAGAAAGATTTCAAGTTGAACATAAATTACAAATGAAATCGCACCAACCATATTGATATTTCTATTTACTTATTCTGATAAGTAAGTATTGTTGTGAGAAAAAGTGTTTTCCAAGAGTTTTTCATTTGAGTAAATGTTAGTATAGGTTGCACTTTGTAAATACAGCTGTTTCACAAGACCCACCTCTATTGGGGAGATATATAATATTCATAGATATTTTGTTTTGTTTACGTACTGGTTCCTAGATATGATCTCTATGTTTCATCTCATAGAGAAATAACTTTGGAATGTTACCAGTATAAAAAAACATGGTAGCGGCGAAAATTGAAATCTGAGGAAGACTCAGAGTGAAGGTAGGGGTAGAACAGAATTTTAGTATAAGTTAAACTCTTAGAAATTCGGGGCATATAGCTGTAGAAAATATGCCGCACAGCCCTATGGTTTGACCTTTGAATAAAAAAGTAGTGCCTATCAACTTTCCGTTCTAGGATATAGTTTTTTACGAAACTTCATAGTAAAAGTGGCACAGCTTTAACCACAAAGGGAGTTCCAATGGGAAATTGCATTGTTTACATTAACAGAAGTGCAACCTATAAGAATGAATTAAGCAGTAAATGATAACAGATGAAAGACAACTATTTTACAGATAAAGAAGAAATATAGACAAGTAGGATTATATAATAAAACTAGTCTACAATTTTGGAACTGTACATATTTATCTTCTGTTTCTATACGTTAGTGCGTATGGTACATTGATTTAACTAATCTTTTCATGTGGATGTGTTAAATTTCTTGAATGCTGATATATCTCCCTCTGTTATGTCTGTTTTATTATCTGTTCTGCTAGGTATGTATATGCAGGGTCGTCTTGTAGAGCTTGGAGAAATTCAGTATATCCCTTTTCACTTTTATGCAAAAGCAAGTCCATTAATTGTCTGTTCTTTTCCTTTTGTGAATGACCCTTTTCTATCTTTTCCTTTTCATCAACTGACAACACATCATTTGTTATCAGATGATCTACTATGTCATCGTGTTTAATACTAGACACGATAAGAGAGTAATTCTTCTGTAGACGAACCTTGTATGGTTGATCTGTATACACTGATAATCCTACAATTATATCTAACTATTAAGTATACATTCATATAAAATACTAGCTGAAAAATTTATAAATACTTTGTGGTGTTCAGAAGCTCATTAGAATATTGACAACAAATCATTCTAGTAGCCATGTGTAACAGCCATATATATATTACCACCTAACTATTTAACCCACTTCGGAAAGGCATAGTTTGTTGAGAACAAATTCAGCATACACATACGAGTACATAATTAGAAAAAAAACCATGTAGTCTACGTGATACGACCATTATCAAACGTTATTCTAATAACAACAAGCAGGACCGTTTTGTGTAATCATTGCAACCTCTTCTGAAAAAACATGATTCATAAAGCAACAGTTAACATAACAATCATAAAGTTTTTTAAAAAGGTTATTCACATTAATACCGTAAATATAAATGAGAATGGAAACGGGGAATGTGTCAAAGAGAAAACAACCCGACCAAAGAGCAGAAAACAGCCCAAGGCCACCAATGGGTCTTCAACACAGCGAGAAAATTCCACATCCGACGAGGGCTTCAGCTGGTCCCTAAACCAAAATGTGTACTAGTTCAGCGAAATTGGATGTCAAACGAAACTCCGAAACATATAAATGAACCAAAATTAAAATGACATACAAGACTAACAATGGCCAAAGACTCGGGACTGGCGCAAAAAAGCAGCGGGGTTGAAGATGTTTTGTGAGATCCCAACCCTCCCCTATATCTCTATCTAATGTAGAATAAACAAACACACAGCAAATCGCCACTCAGTTTAAAAAGTCAGAGTCCGATGTGAGAATAGGTAACACGTATATACACGTATACACGTATTTAATTCTATTTTGTAATGACTCTTGGGTACATTTCATGACATTGGCTGTAGTTGTTCTCATACTTTTTCATGGAAGACAGTTGACTTAAAAGTTAAAAAGAAATGCACTGAAAATCTCTATGCATACAGTTTTCAAAGTGCATTCCATACAAATTATATTTCATTCTGAACAAAACATCAGAAACCTAATATGAAAAATAAAAAGATGTGATATGATTGCAAATGAGACAACTATCCACTAGAGTTTAAAAAAGACGATATTAGCATTTGGCGGTGATCGTACAGCATTCAACATTTAGAACATCCGATGGTGAAAGTCAGCTAAAAAAGGTGCTGACATAAAATTAAAAAAAAATAATGCAAACAAGAAAACATACGGACTAAACTATACAATTTAAGACAACAAAAATTAACAGAAATAAACCAACACATCCCAACCAAATATATGTACCTATGAAATTATTTAGTAAAATATTTCAGTAGTTTGTTGTAAAGAGACTTACTAGTTATATATAAATTAGGTTTATCAAAATTCAATACGTCAATACATACACAGGTATTACGATCAAGTTGTGAAATATATATATATATATATATATATGCTATTAAACTTGCAGTGAGTTTCTTTTGCTCCGTATTGAAGGCCTCACTGTTACTTTGAGATGAAGAAAAGCAATAAACGCGCTGTTCCTTTGCTTTTTATGTGTTTTTAACTGTGCATGTACTGATTTTCTGTCATGGATGGATACCCCATATCCTTTGATTTTTTATTATACCATACTAAAGGGTCAACGAGACAAACCAGTCTAAAAAGTGAAAAGTAACAATTGTGACAGAAAAATCGTCTCTTTTGTCGTAACTTCTTGTAAATAGTCTCTCGTGTGAAACTGAAATATACAAATCTAGAAAAAAGACATTCATTACTGTCTGTATTAGAATTATTGAAATAGGTTCCTTTTGTAAAATTTTCAAATCAAAAGTAGAACATATTTGACTATCTTCAGCAAATTTTTCATCAAGGTAACAGTGAGTGTTTTTATATTTAACATTTAGATATCATGAAACATGATCATTGCAGAGATTTACTGTACACTGTGATTGGCAACACTAACTCTATTTAATTTTTTTTATATGCGTAGCACTACAGGAAAAGGTTTGTCTATTTTGAGGCACAATTGTAGCCCATAAGAATGTCTACAACCGTTAGATAAACCTTATCGCAAAAACAGTACACATGGTACACAGATGTTGTCAGGTGAAAATATACAGATGCAATCATCTCATTGCAGTTCCATTAAGTATATTTAGGATATCTCCTTTTTAAGTACAGAAGAAGGCTTTATATGAGTTGAGGCAAATCAATCTGCATCGATGACCATTAAATAAAATTCTAGTAAGAAAACTTCTGACGAGATTGTGTTGATTTGTTGTTTGCATAGTCGAGAAGTCATAACTGTCAACCGAATTAAGCAGACCATCACAAGCACGTAATTTTTCCAAAACACTCCAAAAATAATTAAATCCACTTCTTTGTATGCTTTATTTCAACAATTAATAGCAAGTATTTTTATAGCTAACAGCACTGCCATATTAAATTTTGCAGTTGTAGACTACTTACTAGAATCTGAGATGAAACGAAATCTCAAGAGTTTTTTTCCCAAGAGTTTGAGCAGCTAATACATGATAGGGATTTTCAACATTCAGTGGAGGCCTGAAGCTAAGATGTGGTCGTGACATGATTATTTGTGTTTTTGTCTTTCAGTATATGGTATGCATGGTATGCACATGGCCTTGAAATCACAATTTCATTCTATAGAACTTACGTTTAGTGTTTACGTCACATCTAAACTATATTGGCGGCTACTGTGTTGGCCGATACGAAGACAAAACGCTTACTAAATGAGGCCAAGCAAACCGCGCAATTTAATGATCAGTAAAAGATATGTAACTAACTACAATCATTTAAGAATCTGAAGGATAACATTTAAAATGATCCTTAAGTTTTTATTAGAATCGTTACTCTCACTCTTTTAATGATAGCATGCACAATATTGATTATACAATCAAATATAAAAAAATGACTATGAAACACGAACCTGCGCCAAAAGAACATGATGCTACGATTAATACAGGAGGTACTCAACTCTAAATATGTATTTAACATCATTGAAAAGGTAGTTTAAATGATATATTCCAAATTTTACACCTAATATTAATTTGTAACTCTTCAATTAACTTAATAATCCAGCGCTTTTAAAAAAAAATCAACAATTGTTATTAACTATTTTGCTAAACACAAGTCTAGACAAAGTACTTTGCTATAGAAAAACACTTTCGTAAATCTATAAAATAAAGATACTTGTGTATGATGTAGAGAGTCTATAAACTGCTATTATATAGTGTTTTTTTTTCTATTTGAATTTAGGGATGTTAATTGAAATAAAATATATTTGCTTTATATTTTCTATATATTTCCGCTAAGATAAACACAAATTTTTTATTTTAAAATTCAAATCGGCATCAACGTATTTTTCTTGAAGTAACTAAAATATTATATATTGTTCTTCAACTAAAGGATGTGAAGCAATTCTGATAAACCATCATTATTGTATATCAGATTGTCTTAACCGATTACACCCACCTATTATCAAAGCAGCTTTGAATCACAAATAAAAAAAAAATACCATTACTGCTATATGAACATTTATTTTCACAATTTTACGTCTCGACGATTCTTCAAGTTTCACATTGCACGAAGTCATGTCGTCCTAAACTATTCATGACGTCTTTACACTAAATCCATTGGATGTGTACTGATCGATGAATTGTCATGGAAACATTATTTTACTTATCATATATCATATGCCTTGAACTAACTTTCAGTAACTGCATGCGAGTACTCTTAGATCGGTACTTTGAGTCTTGACCGTTTAGTAAAAAAGTAATCATGCATCTTAAGAATTGTAGGATTTTCCTTATACGCTGCTTTTATAAAGTCAATTGCATTGCTTTTATAATGGTAACAGTCCTGTTTGATGTTGGAAGGAGTCATCAACCGTAATTCTCTACGGGAATCACTAATTTTGCAATCGTATTTTATTTCACCTGCTTTATTTCTTCCAAAGGGCGATTTGAAAAAACTGTAAATTTCAAATTTGTTTGAGATCATATAATATATTTCAGTCATTCAAATATAATTCAAAAGTAACTATTTTTTTTGGTTTTTTTTTTTTTTTGTTTTAAGTGTTTGTTCCCATTCATGCATAATAATAAATACTTTAGTGAATTCTACATGTTCTAATTAAATTTTCAGTAGCTGCTAATATTAGGTAATTCGTCACGCCACAGGAAAAAAATAGTACATTCGAGTGTTACGAAAGTTTCTTTTTTGGCCATTGAAGATATCAAATAAGTCTAGAAGTGAAAACGTTAGGTTGATTTTCTTCTTATTTATTTAAGAAAAAAAATGCGATTAATTTTGGAGTTAAAATGCTGAAAATCAAAATGTAATGCATCTGAATAACTAAAACCGATATTATCATGATTATAATTTCAGACATTTTATTTGATATTGCCGGGGATTTAAAAACAAAAACAAATTGGTTTACATTATTCCAGTGGTTTTAAAATAGATGTCTTCTACGAACGTTGAGTGCTGGCAAAAGCAAACACTTTTCTATTAAGTCTGAGCAGATTAAAAGAGGTGTAGAATGTACATAAATCAACAATCAAATAACACAGACAAATATGTGCAGTTCAAAACAGTTTTAAAAAAAGAGGCGGAAGATATCAAGAGGACATTCAAACGCATAAATTGAAGAAAAACTGACAATGTCATGAAAAATAAACTGAAAGAGAATAAAAAACGACACAAGTTCACACATCACTACATAGAAAACTAGAAATGAAGCAACATGAACTGTATCAAAAACCCGTGATGAACTCAGGTGCTCTAGAAGAGTAATTCGTTCCTACTCAATATGTGGCTTCCGTCTTGTTTCTCATGCAAGTACAAATATTGTGATGAGTCGTTAAAAGTTAACAAGTGTCTATAACACTAGTAATGTATGAGTAGAATGGTAGAATTTAATTCAGATAAGAACATCAGTGATGTCCTATTGCATATTATATTGATTCCAAATGACAAAGCATCGTGGGTTCAGTTCTTTCCTAGAGTAACAGACGACCGAATAAACTATATTTCCAACTTCATTTGTTCTTAAAGGATGATAAGTTTTACTGACTTAACATAGTCCTACTGATATTGGTAAAAGTTCTGCTTTGTGGTGTGTTTTCAACAGTAGCTTTATCCTTACGCTTAAATTTAAGGTATGCATAACAGTATCCCTAGGTTACCTGGTTTTTATCATAAATTATTATAACTTGAGAATAAGGTGTTTTTCTTCAGCTCTGTAGATTTTGGTTTAATCCCTACACAAAACACTATCTCAAAAAAAGAAAACAATACCTCAACATCACAAACAAATCTTATAAAGAATGATATACAAATGATAGACAACAGTTTTTTAATGAGTAATGGTCGATATCAGTCGTTTTCCGTTGATCTATGATAAAACCTGGTCTTCTAAACGTTCGATCAAACTTCATTCTAAAGTTCTTACTACGAATTTTTCTACAGTACATTATGAGCTCCACAAACATTGTGATGAGAACTATTCAAACAGTAGTGTCAATAGTATGTTTGTGTTATTTCCAAACATCTAATAAAATATGCAGTCTCAATCTTTACAATTTTGCAGTAATATCAAGACTTTCGAGTTATCTATGCTTTACACCACTTATCCAAATGTTCAATTGAAAGATCATAAACATAGCTTTTTTCTCTACGAAAATGGAAATCGAAGATACAAATTACTTGTTATTGGTTCTGTAATATCTTTATTTGTGAAGAACCACACTCCATTAACAAGTAAACCGCAGATGATATTACGACGTATTGATCAACAATACATTTGTAGAATTTGTTATATGTTTTGTTGAGATAGTTGGACGGACAAGTCGACAAACGATCTGTATCACTATAGGTACGAATCGTGAGTTACTACTGGCAGAGTTGTTTTTGAAGCATAGTTCACAGAACAAACATCATTTTGTCAAGTTTACCTTGAGATATATTGATGTATCATGTTACGTAATAACCCATATTTCAATGATGGCTTGCATCTCATACATCACAGTAAACCTGCAATTAAAGATACTACCACAACCACAAGGTCTACTTCAAATATTGATATTTTCCTCGATATTGACATAGGCTTTTAACAAGAATGTACGAAGAAAAGAGATGATATCAACTCTCCACTTGTATACTTCTCTTTTTTTCAGAAGTACGATATCGTATGTATGGCCTATCCATATCTCTAGACATATGGTTCGCTCCTGCGTGTTCATTCTAGAACGTCTTTATTAACAGGGATGAGCTCCTGACACCTCCAGTGCTCTAAGAGAGGCAAAAGATACCAAAGGGACATTCAAACTCATAAATCGAAAATAAACTGACAACGCCATGGCTAAAAAAGAAAAAGACCAACAGACAAATAATAGTACACAAAACACAAAATAGAAAAACCGAAGACTGAGCAATACCTTCAATTGTGAGGAAAAAATGACAGGAATCGACATCGTTTCAAATTTACATTCACTATCACTAACTGCTTAAACAATACATAACTATGTATTTGTGTCGAAATTTACTAGCGACATGTGTTCACGGTTTTATATCTTTAGATACCGGACTATTTGTCTGACGGGTAAATTTACTGGTTGTGTTCTTTTCTCGATTATCTTTTTATGATTTAGCGTGGAATCTCATGGCAGAGGATTACATAATGCGCGAGACGCTAACCTGTCGACGTACACGATCTCGCTCCATTTGTAGTTCATGCGACTCCCTTAGATTGGTATGTGTATTATCTTGATTTGTATCTACTTTATGAATATAGGAGATTTGAACTTCTGTAAAAGTATTGTTGCCTCTTATTTAAGCAATTTTAGCACAAACAGTTCAGTGGAAGTACTGTCAATTTAGATATTTGTGCGTCTATTTATTAATGCGATTGTTGAACAATTTACAAAAATGCCAATTGAAAATAACGATTTCAGGGGATCCTATATACAAATAATTATATCACAATATCATGTTTGTATTTATACTTAACGAATTCCAGAAAGAAAACGGAATTTACAGTATCTGGTGTCATAATATTGTATTATATTAAAATGAACAAGTTTACTGTTATTTGTGCGTTATTTTTTTTTTATTTGGGGATACATAAAGGCGACAGTAGTTTATAGATGTTCAAATCTAACTAACCGATTAGAAAGAGGCAATCAAAGTTACAAACAACATATAAAGGAATTGAATGGAATCCAAAGGGACCTAGAACACAAAGTCAACAGAGTAAGCGTCTCCTGATATGCACACATCACCTGCCACATGCAGTCAAACTGTCACAAAAAAAAACAAACACAGAGTTCTTACCTTTAGCTTCGACTTGTACTGATTCTAAACTTGATATAAGATTCTGTGATTCAAACTTCAATTTATTTGCCAGATCTGTGTTATCTTTTTTTTCTAATGCATCCACAAGCACATAATAGGTAAGCTTCTTCCTTTTCATCACTATCTCAAGCATGGCATATTTCTGATCATCATGTCCAGCATGTTTATCAATGCGGCGCCTGTCGTCTGCTGATATCACGAAGTGTGTCATCATATCATCTAGAATATCGCTAATGGGTATATTCTCTAGGATTTCGTCAATATTATCGAGTATTCTATCTGCATGTGAGTAAAGTGAAAAGTGTATTAAGATTTTTATTTACAATTAGTGTCTTTATTTGATGGAGTCAATTGTGTGTATACTGCACGTATATCATGTTTATTATGTAAATTCAACATACAATCATACATGCAGGTCTCTATTGATTCTTTTGGAGATGCACTATGTCATCATTAAAACTATTGCTTCCAAACGCTTGATTTTAATCCTTTATTCAGAGAAAGTATAAAGGACATGTGACAGGGGAAAAAAGATTGCCCGTTTTTGTTTGACGTAAAACATGTACTGGTACATGTAAGCAAATTGTGATCTGAAATGGTCATTTTGATCTGAACAGATCTTAAAAGACTGAACAATAAATGATTCAGTCATATTCAGTCTTACAGTCAATTGTTAGACTTATCCACTGCGGTAAATTAAGTACTGTTCAGACAATTCGCTTGCATTTATTTCAGTACTGTTCAGTATTATTATAGACTTTTCATTAGTATGTTGATGTCACATTGTGACCAGGCATAAAACAAATACATAGGAATCAACAAAATGCTGGACGGCACAACAGACCATAACAACCTCGAACAACCGACTTCAACTTAGAACAAAAGAAAACAAACATACAAACCAATACAAACAACAATAAACTACACATGGGCATCTGACCTTAGTACAGGCTCAAATGTAGTAGGATTATACAAGGTTTAAATGCACACAAACCTGCTCCTTTTCTTATGTAGACAGAAGTGTTTTTTTGGCAATGTTTTTTTTTTCTCTGTTAGTCTTTAATTGATGTTTTTACCTCCGGTATATTGTTACATACTTTGTTATGTGAGCACCATAATATATGCATGTTTATAAGTGAATCTTCTACTCGCTGTTATGGTTCCATAGCTTATCCGTGCTTATATTGTGTTAGTGCAAAACATGTCTTTAAGTCATTAAGTAGACCAGTTCAATTTTTTCACCTCGATTATTAGACATTGACAATTCTATGTATCTGCTTTACTGTTTAGTTTATTCGTTGTCCAAATGTGTATGACGTTTTGTCACTGGGCATCAAGTAGACAACAAGTAAACAGATTGTTTACAGTTTTCCTTAAAGATGGAATTATGCACTTAGAATAAGATGGTATTTAAGGGAACTACATAATAAGAATACTTGTCTTATTTGAACTTTACTCCCATTAGAATTAACGCAATCAATGATATTCTGATATTTTTTTTCTTCAAATATTTGACTATAGGAACATTTTTTGTGTTTTTGTATTTTAGAATTTGTCCAAGAAGTGAGATACCTGTTGTCATTCAAAGCGTCAGCGTGTAAATTTTATTTGGATTTAATACAGATAATCCTTGACCAACGTACAATGATAACCAGTATAGTAATGATATCGATCAACATCAATCTGTAAAACGGCTATCTTTATTATTTTGGCTTTACCTGTTACATCCTCCACAGCTGTCAAAGTGTTAACATCAACACCTTCTATAATATCCTCCAAACACTTTGCTCCTCTTCCAATGTTGACCAAAGCCTGTGCAAGTACTCCAATAGTAGGTTTCACTGATCTGTCCTTTCTCCATTCATATAATACTTTCTTGTTCTGAGCTGCCAAGTCACTGCGATGATCCTCTTGTATAGTTTCTAAATTTCCGATCGACAATCCTAGTTCAATTCCAAGTTGAAAGAACTTTTGACCAATTTTGGAGGCTAAGGAATCAACAATTTCGTCTGTTGGAATAAAATCTAGGATATCATCAGACATACCTGAAAGACAAAAGTATTAAAAAATATTTCATGTATAATATAGCACCAAAAATTGATGGAACACAAAAAGGTTAATATACACGCTTTATATAAATTCATTTAGAAGTTTTAAGGAGCCTGCATCTCTCACCTGGCAATTTGTATGAAACTTATGTAATGCAATTATAATATATATGTTAAATGGAAACTGTGTGTGCCAAAATATAATGGCTAGCTGATAATTTTGCATGACTAAGTTTTTGTATATCCATTATAGTTTGAAAATGTTTAACATGTATTTTAAATATGTACTACTTTCCATTATGTTCTTTTTTATTGATGGGGCACGATTTGGTAGTGTTACATCGTATAATGTCTATCCGAATTATTTTTGCAGAGAATTCCGCTCAAGCCTGTGCTAGGGGCCGGCTTAAACTTGCAGTGAGGTGAGAGATTTTTTTGCTCCGCGTTGAAGGCTTCATTGTGACTTTGTTATGAAGAACAACAATAAAAGCTCTGTTCCTTTACTTTTGAGTGTTTTTTTTTTCTGTGCATGTACTGATCGTTTTTCATAGATGGATACCCCATATTCTTTGTTTCTCCATAACATTGTGATTTAGGAGCACCAACTGGTGTAATAAGTCGTTTGCATATTTTTATCATTCCATATATTTGTAGATCTCTTGTTGTTTATTAGTCTTGTTGTTCAAAGTTTAAGCCCAAAATGAGGCTCATCTCCATATCATTTGTATAATTCAAAATTTCATTTCAGAATGAGCTCACGCTGTCATAGGGAAACCATTCTGTTTGGACCCGAAGACAAACAAATGCAAAGCGCTACGTATGGCAATGTATTTCATATCTGCATACAATTGGGATGTAAAGCGACATCTACAGCTTACCTGGTTCTATTTTCTTCCCTCTTCTCACCTGCAAAACAAAATATAGACTGTAACATGCTGTACGTTTGGTTTTAGTGAGTTCAACTAATTAAAAGGGCACTAATTTTTTTGGGTAATATTGTTTATTAGCAAACAAGACTGGATATAATTAGATATTGCCCATCCAATTGTTCTCCATAGATTGTTAGGATGAATCACTGTCGGACTAATTATTCGTTTGAAGTTCAATCAATGCATATCGTATTTTAGGGGATAAACATCAATGTCATAAATTATAGTTTGAAACAATACTAAAACGTTTTATTTGCTTTCACCTTTGCAACTTTGTACCGTTTGATTTTGGTTTTTCAGAAAATCATAGCTTCATACACCGCTATGAACTCTTTAATGAAGTACAACAGTTGAAGTAAGAGTGTTAGGCAGCGTGATTTCATATCAACAGGTTAAATGCTTTGAACTTGCTTTCATTTACTGCACATATTGTTTAATATAGTATATTATCATTCATAATTTTGTTTCTTTGTATTGAATTTCGTGTTTTTTGTTGTCTATTGTACCGTTTATTTCAGTAAAACACAAACCATTTACTGATTTTTATTGTATGTTGTGTTTAGTTGTACCTTGTGTTTGTTCACTGTTTGTGATTTAAAAAGGTTTAGACCTAAACAAATTTAGTTAAACTCCGCATATATTCAAAGCGTCTGTTGCAGGTCATGGATCTTGTAAGTGAATATCTTATGTCTTATCTTAATGCTTATTTCATTTATTGAATTTTTATGTTAATCGAAGGTTTTTTTGCTTACTTCTGTTTAACTCATTCAATTTGTGAAGATGTGGGACAATTCATATCTAGCATATTTTGTTGTGTTATCATGAATTTCAGAGAATCTAATACCTGTAATTGAGTCAAAAGCAGTTCAACCGGATTGAACTTAATTTGCAACCGGTTATTACTCCTATAAAACATAATATCAAAACTATTGCACATTTTGGCATAGGAGGCTTAGAGCAAAAGATAACCCAACTAGTTATGGAGTTTAATAAATTATATGGTTATTTGCTCGAAAGAAAGATTACCGAAACGAAATTCGTCGTGTTCGTACATATTACAGATTGTTTTCTCATTAAAAGTATGACCTTATTGCTAATATAAAACAAAAACTGAAGAGTACTTCACAGTCATGACAGTTGTTTCGCAACATTGCATTGAAACACTAACATTTAAGGTTATTAAGTAGTGTAATAAGTACACGATTCATTCTATTTTACTTACACTACATAGCTTATGAGTTGTTATTTTCATTTCACTGAGAGCATCTGCCAGCATTCTAAAATTTATTTTTGAGTTTGATTGTTTCCACTTCATCAACATTAGGAATTTTAAAATCTCTGGTCTATCCTTATAGCTATAGTCTAATGTATCCCATTCGTCCTCCATTTCTAAATGTTGTGCCAATTCTTGTATCAGTTTAATAGAATTATATGAGAACTGCAGCAATTCTTTATCACTTGGAATCTGGTTCAAAGCATCCTCAGCAAGACCTAAAAATTTGCAAAAACCGTATTACTGCTAGACAACTCCAATTTGTTTTTTTCTCTCTTTTGAATCATCGTCAACAATATTAGGGAAAGGGCAGTTTACATAAGACTACATAATCATAATGTATATCCTTGAGTTGTTGCCTGTCAGTCCACATAAATAACATATTTCAATGAACGAGTGTAATATTACTGACATGAATAACATAATACAGTTTTACTGTAAATTCTCATTTTATAAATACGATAAAAAAACTGTGCTAAAACTAAGGATGATTTGTAAAAAAAACATCCACTAATATCGTTATCTAATTTACACCAAGGCCATTCAAAAAATAATCTTGTAACGTTTACTAAAACTCTAGATAACACAGCTTACTAAGTGTACATTGATGTTATAGCTTATTCCTTACCTTAGCCTTAACTTGGCGGATATGGCACAAAATAACACCTTTGACAGTAACATGTTTTGCAAGGCTTGGTTCATTTTTCATTCAAATGCATTATCCAAACTCCTGGCAGTGGGGCTTAAGATGTGAATTATATAATTTTGGTTCAGTTTAGTTTCGATGTACTTTAATTCAAATATATAAATAAACGTGATATTTTTCAAATACCCTATTGCTAGTGTCTCCAACAGCAAAATATAGTATTGAATACCAAACATGGACATTTTAAGAATTATTGACATTTGCTGACCGTTGGCTTTGCTTTCAAATAAGTTAATATTTATGCATTATGTATAGCATAGGCCTTTAAGAGCATACTTGTTTTCATCAACACGGATCGGCGTACGATGACCTTCAGTTGTTTACATCCTTGTCCGTAACCGATATAAACATTTCTTTGTTGCTGTTCAATTGAATCAAATGATGAATTTGAAAAATTTGTGTGCATTTTATCTGTTTTAACTAATGATAATATGAACTAATGAGTGGAATGCATATCTGTCATATTTCCCCCTGTTCATCATGACATTGAGTATGTTATTCACTGTCAGTTTTGACTTTATATAAAACTAAAAGAGACTAACAGAGTCGTCTCCTGGCCGCATGATGATCAAAAAGAAAGGGAGGTGGGTTCCTATTCTTTGCTTGGTTACAACAACAAAAAACGTTACATGCTGCTCCTTAATTATGCATGAGATGTATAAAGATAAGAGCTAAGACTGGTCAGCTCGGAATCAGAATAATTTGTATGAACAGGGTGCTGACTATTAACTCATGGATTAGCACATTTAAAACCGTTGTAAGCTATGCAGCAACATCAAAAGTGTACAAAATGGCATGACACGGGTTATGTTCTTCTCATATATTTTATGATGGTATAATACCCCTAACAGGAGGGATTGTGCCTGATAGTCATATGACGAAGACATAATCTTTCAATCAGTTTAATTGAGGTCTGGAGCTGGCATGTCAGTAACTGCTAGTAGTCTGTTGTTATTTATGTATTATTGTCATTTTGTTTATTTTCTTTTGTTTCCTATTCTGACAACGGACTCGGACTTCTCTTAAACTGAGTTTTAATGTGCGTACTGTTGTACGTTTGTTTTTTCTACATTGGCTAGAGGTATAGGGGGAGGGTTGAGATCTCAAAAAACATGTTTAACCCCGCCGCATTATAGCGCCTGTCCCAAGTCAGGAGCCTCTGGCCTTTGTTAGTCTTGTATCATTTTTAATTTTAGTTTCTTGTGTATAATTTGGAGTTTAGTATGACGTCCATTATCACTGAACTAGTATACATATTTGTTTAGGGGCCAGCTGAAGGACGCCTCCGGGTGCGGGAGTTTTTCGCTGCATTGAAGACCCATTGGTGGCCTTCGGCTGTTGTCTGCTCTATGGTCGGGTTGTTGTCTCTTTGACACATTCCCCATTTCCATTCTCAATTTTATTAAAATGTGATGCTCTTGCGTTATATGTCTTTTCAGGTCTATGCGATAAGACATGTTTTCTACATATTTTGTAACAAAATACATACCTGGACAATTGTCTTTGCATTGTTTCTTTCCCTATATGAAAATGTACAACATATAACCTTAATTCAATAGAAAATGCTCATAAGTAGTTCGTTAAAAATTAATAAAAGAACGTACCTATCCATATAAAGTATATACATGCAATGCAAATGATTTAAAAACAAATCATTAATAGGAACCATTCTGAAAATGGAATATATAGGAAACTGAATAGAAATAGCAGGAAGCAATTTATGTATGTATTTATATTGCAGATATGGCTAAAAAGGGAATGTAGTACGAACCGCACATTAAGTTAGCTTTTGATAACAAGTAGAGGGAGTTTTATATACATAGTTGTTCGGTCAGATTTTGTATTGAGTTTTTTTTTCTACTTCGCAACTACACAAAATGTTTAATGGCAGTTCAGGTCGTAAATCGTATTCGTATAAAAATATAAAAATCATCATTTGTGATCTGGGGTACATACGCAGAGCTACAATATTTGGGATATGGTGTGTGCTTTTAAAAGCAGGGTCGTTTGGGTAAGGTAACCATGACCCCGCACAGCCGTGAGCAACATGATGGCCGTAAATTCAAATTGTCGGGATTTTTTCTCTAAATATTACAAAAAGGTAAACTATTCCCGATAATTTGTTAATAACGACAATAAAGAGCACATAATGTCCTGCATATTTGTATATCCGATTACTGAAAAGTATTATGACAAGTGAAACAAACAAGCATAGTCAATTGACTTATACTAATAGGCTTCGTGAGCTATTCAGGAAACACCTGCTTCATGTTAGAATAAAAAGACATAGTAATGAGTACCGTTTAGGTTTTGGTGGGGAAGACTAAATTCAATGTCAAACAATGTTAGTTACTTATAAAAGGGTTTAGGACATGTGATATCCCTGATTATTCTGGAAACCAAACTTTCAGCAAATTTCAGTCAGGTTATAGCTGACCTACATCTGATTTTTCTCAAAACAAATTGCTATTATTTCAGTGTAGAACTAGTAATTATGGTTTGGAAAATCTGATTTGTTGCCCATACATCATATAGAAAAATAGTTTAAACTAAAAAACAGTATTTTCCAACTAAATATAATCAAACAATGTACAAATTGGGTGTTTGGTTAAACAAATATTACCAGAAAAGAACAAGCGTGCTCAAACTTTGTCTATCATTTGCTGCTGTGAGCTTGATCTTTAAGACATAATGACCTTATTTTAAATCTCTTATTTACTTTACATTGGTAAAAATCGTATCAATGGCTCATTTACATTTTGTCTTGAAACAAAACCTACCAAAACCTTCTGACCATAAAATCAGTAACAGTCATTTTTCTCCCAGTTAAGTATCACTCAAGGTAAGATTGATAACGGTTAAAGATATCGGAAGATATCCTCTTGAAACAAAACAGTAACAATGTTAGCACAATTAACTCTATCAGTTTCTTCTGCAACCTTGACCGTTGCCCTAGTAATCTCATTATCAATACCAATCTTAATATCTCATAGAACAATTTTAAATGCCTATTAAAGATGTTTTTATGGCTCAAAATACTTCATGTGACCAGATGATCTGTTGTTTATTCATGATATAAGTATCACGTGACTTGTCCTTTCAATTCAATTACAAACTTCGAATTTTACATGTTATAGGTTGAAAGTTAAAATAGATTGAATTTACGACTAATCAAGTGATTCAACAACTAACGTGCCCAAAAAATGTCATATGGGAAACATCCACGAACATTTTGTTTAATTCTGAGGAAAATATTTATAAATAAGTAATAACTTTAAAAAGGATAGGAAACATTAAATTATCAGGGTTTAAACAGATTTTTGCAGAAATGTCAAGAAAACAGATGTTGTATATGATATTTATTTTGATTATTCATCTTTCAAGGCGTTCCCCTATTTGCAAATGAATCATGAATAATTTAGCCTAGAGTCTCTATTTGTATTTTGTATTTTATTTTTATAACGAATATTTGTTATTTTATATAGCATATGTACAAAGGTTACCATCTTGTTTTTAAGACTTAAAAGCCAAAAGTTTTCAAATTTGACAGTGTTCATTCACAGTGGACAAATACTGTGTAACATTTGACTATATACAGATAACTTATAGATGTGTTCAATTTCAACTCTGCTAAATATGGATTCCAACACTTTTTTTTATTTAGGTTGAAGAACATCCATTATTGATCGTGACTGAGATACATATAAAATGATTATGGCATAATAACAGTTGTAACTGAAATGGCAACAACAGTCATGCAATGTTTGAAGGCAATCTTGTTGTCTTAGTGCCAATTACTTCAACCTATATTTTTTTTTATAATAAAATGGACATGTGTGGTATGTCACATTGAAACGGCAACCAAGCAAAAGAAAAGCAAGAATTCCAAATATTGTATTCACATTGACAAGTATTTATACTGTAAGTCAATTTTAAATCACCAATGATGAACAATTTTAGAATTTATTATACCCAGCTTACTAGTTAATATATTTAATTAACATTAAATCTTGTAATGTACACATAAGCACAATATCAATTAGACCGATGAGTTTCAAAGAGTTGTGTACTATTTAAACAATGCATATCAGATTCTATCTTTTTAATTGTATTTTGTTCTTTTTTAATCACATTTTGTACAAGGTTTTAGTTGTAGGTAAACTTCTTCTCAAGCAGAAGAAATTATCAAAACATATTCTTTTTGCTACGCGATGATTGATTTTTTCCTTGTAACTTCTGCATAGAACATGCACGTGAAATGCTACATAACATCACCTTTCATGCCACTTGGAATAATTAGCTACTAAAGATTTTCAATACACATGATAATATAAATCTACGAATATTTATTAAAAGTAGGTTCGATGCATGCAATACTACTTAAATAACCTAAAGTTAACAACTAACAACTTGCGTACATTTCGTGTTCATTATAAGCTGAAGTTATTAACATTATTCAACCCAATTGACTCCCTAAATATTAATATAGGACTATACATGACGTTTTGTTCCATGCAGCTTCAATTCAGAGTTTTATTTGTATCTAACATAATATTAACTCAATTTTATATCAGCAACACCTTTTAAAATGTGCCATTCATTGAATCAGTTCACATTTTCTACGATATCTTTATCGAACACATGACGTGAAATTTGGGTAAACATTTGTCTACCATAGATTCCAAGGAGACTGTATCACTCATATGTCAATTCGCCAATTATTAAAACAAAAATGTCGATTGACAATTTCAGGCATGTTGACTGATTTGAAGATATTGACCTGCTGATATTGTTTGCTTTTTACAGTTTTTCTCCATCTATTATAGTTCATGCAACTACAAAAACACACAAACAGGTAAAAGTAATCATGCTGAGGCAATGACTACTAAGGGGAAAAGTGCTAACTTATATATGTACTAGTAGAGCTGGTCCTGCTGGTGATTTTTGCGGTATACTGTTGAAATTTCTATTCCCAATAATTTACAGACCTGGTGACTCTTTTATAACAGTATTAACATTTTATTTTCTGAATGTACCTGGTTTTCGTTCCAAACATTCCAATGGTCTTGTTTATGCCTCAACTTATGTCTGTCACAAATCCATTCGGCTGTTTGCAAGGCATCAACTTCACTGATAAAACATTCTAAATTGGAGCATGAATATTCGATGTGGAAAGGGCTTCTAGGACTGCTAGTTCTTGCATGGACTGTGGACTGATAGAATTCTATAATTCTCTCCAATGTCTTACAAAAGGTTTCTTTGATACTAGTGGCTATATCTGATACTATTAGTTCATTGGAAGTCTTGTGGATTATGTAAAGGTGGATTCTGTTGGCTTCAACGCATACAACAATATCATGTGCCTTGTCATATGATATGCCAAGAAATCCAGAAAACAGGAGTTTAACATCTCTCTTTTCCCCTATGATGCCACTTTCTTTCTGTTCTTTATATGTCTTCACATTCCACATACTTAGACAGGCGCTGATGAGACGGTTAGGCAAAGCTGGTGGAATAATAGCCCCTTTAAAAGTGAAGGCCAAACTGATAGCTCTGTTTGGTGTGCATTCTTCACTCATGAAATTAGTCGTGTTCCTCTCTGTTACCATGCAAGGAACAAAGAAGTTTTTGGTTGGTAGCCGACGTCCTGTTTTTGCATTATATCTTCGCTGCTCTGACACAATATCAAGGTGGATAAGCATATCAAATATATACTTTTTATAAGGTAATACTTTACTGAAGGCTTCTTGTTCCCAGATCTGATATAGTTCCCCTCTTTGCATTGTTCCACTTTCTGACATCTTTTTGAAAATGGCATGTACTGTAACCTCACTTGGCCAGAATTGCTTGTCTAGAAAAAAAAATAAAGATTTGTGCTTGCATTAATAAATTAACATCTTTACTTTATATGCATTTTAACAAATATTATAAGATCGAAGACGGCACACAAAAAGTCGCTAGTAATATGGACACAGCCTTATCGTGTCGGTCAACCGTTTTGTAGTTTCACCATCAACGTTGCAAGTGTAAACTCAATCGAACTTCATCATAACTGTCTTCAACCAGCTTTTTTGTAAAGAGCACTCAACAATACTTTTTGAAATACAAATTTCCCTTTTCTGCTAATTTGATATTTATATCAAGCTTCTTCCCTTAGTTTTGTGGTAGTTGTTATTGCAACTACTTATATAAAAATTAGGAGAAGCGGTATGACTGCCAATAAGACAACTATCCACCAGAGTTCAGGTTATGAAGGAACAGTTGTTCTGGATTGACTGATGAACGTGGTAAAGATAAATGTGACTCTTATTTCGACCAACGAGACATTAAAAACATAAAAACATTAAAAAGCGAATATAAGTTAAGTTACCATGCACAAAACAGTTCTGTCGCATTCTCCTCTTTTTTGCAAATTATCAAGTTCATATATAGTCTCTGGAACAAGTTGACCTGCATTTAATGGTCGACAAGGTAGACATAGCATAGTTCCAGTCACATTATATCTCTCACTTCTAACAAGTGTAGTAAGCTCATGACAAAGAAATCTCTCTGTAGTGGAGTATCAAAGTAGACATAGAAAAAATACCTGCTACAAAAGACCTCAAAACATCTACCAAGAAAAGTACGCTGATGATCACACAATATTTCAGACATGGAGTATCAAGATATATTTAGCATAAACACCTGTTACAAAAGATTTCTACCCGTCTACCATGAATAGTGGGCTGATGATCACAAAATCTTTGTGCTGTAGAGTATCAAAGTAAACAGAGCATAAATACCAGTAACGACAATTATCATTATTTTCACCAAAAATAACAGATTGTTGATCACAAAATATCTCTGCTGTGGAGGATCTAAGTAGACTTTGTATGAATACATGTTACAAAGGTTCTCATAACCTCTAACAAGATCAGTGGGCTGATGAGCACTCATGGATCAATTCGTCAGCAGTGATTGTCAAAGTAGACATAGCACCAATACCTATTGCAAAAGATCTCATTACTTCTACAAATAGTAGTGAGATGATTATTACAAAATATCTCAGCTGATGAGTATTAAAGTAGACATAGTATACATATATGTTACCTAGGATCGCATTACTTCTACCAAGATTAGTAAGCTGATGATAACATAATATCTCAATTGTGGAGCATCAAAGAAGACGAAGTATAAATACCTGTCACAAAAGACCGCATGACTTCTACCAGGAGCAGTGGGCTTATGATAACAAATTCTCTCAGCTGCGCAGTATCAAAGTAAACGATCTTCCCAAGGGAATGTTGGAAATGGAGAAAATCGTTTAGCTGCTCAGAAGACAGGACAGACAACTGACTGATGACATTCAATTCTTCAACTTCCTTCAAAGACAAGATTTGCTGTCCTCCAGCAACCAATTCCGCGATCTCGAGTTCAAGGGGGACACATGCATTTGGCATGGTTTCTCCCCAGCATGGATGTTCGAAAGTGAGATCTGTAATGGCTTTCTTGAGAATTTGTATATCTGGGTCAGCTTTGTCTTTGGCATTGACAAATATCATAGGGCTGAGGACAAGATGTTGTTTTCCCTCGTGATCTTTGAACAACTCTTCTACTTCACTGTACAACTCTTTTCGTCGTGTTTCAACATTCTCCTATGACAAAAAAGGTATTATAATGAAATCAAAATAGGGAGATGTGTTATGAATTCCAATGAGACAATTATCCAAATGGAGTAGAATTAAGCAATAATAGACCAACGCACGTTATAATAACTATATGAGTATTTATGAAATATATTTGACAAAATTTCTTGTACATCACTTATGTTTATGATCAAATATTTTAGTGAAGCAAATGTAAATTTTGTCACTGAAACTAATGAGACAAGGTAACTGTTTATTGCAAATTTACTAATAGGGGTATCAGGGTTTTTGTACCATGTTAAGGCCCAAGTATGTTGTCATTTATTTCAAATTTCAAAATTTGTATTAGCATTTAATAATAAATTATTTTTGATTAAATTCAATCTAGAAGACTTTATGGGCACAATAACTTAGTGGTAGTTTATTCAAGTGATACTATATAAACATGTATTTAAAAGAATTAGGAGTAACAACATTTGCTGTCAATTACATAAACTGTTAAACATTTTAAATTCTTAAATGAAGAGCTGGGTGTAATGCGAAAATATTCTTCAGGCATTTTAAGCATGGTTATGATCGTGTCAATGTTTCGTTGCATGATCTAACCTAGACTAATGTAAATCATATTTAGACCATGGTAGCTATACTAAGACCATGGTTACATTAACAAAGACCATGGCAACAATAACCGAGACCATACTTACTGATATCTTAACAATAGTTCCACTTACTTTGACCTAAATAACAATACTTAAATCATGCTAACAATACTTAGTTCGTTTTAAGAATACGTAGACTATGATTACAATACTTATACCATGACTTTAATAATTAGACCATGAAAACAATGTTTAAACTATGTCAACAATAACTAAGACCATAGTTGCACCTATTTAAACTAAGATAACACTCACTTATATCGTACTTAGTCAATGGTAAAAATTATTAGCCATGGCTACAATATTTAGACCATAGTTATAATATTGAGACCATGATAACAATACTTACGTTGTTATTTATTCGTTTGATGTGTTTGAGCTTGTGAGTTTGCCATTTGATTAGGGACTTTCCGTTTTGAATTTTCCTTGGAGTTTGGTATTTTTGTTATTTTACTTTTCCGATACTTAAACCATAGTTTCATTTACTAAGACGATGTTTACAATTCTTCGTCTTTGGGTAAAACACTTTGTATATGGTTACAATACTTAATCCATGGTTACATTACTAAGACCATGAAAGCAGTACTTAGTCCATTGACAAAACTTACTAAGACCATGGTAACATTTTCTTATACCATGGTTTCACTCACTTAGACCATGGTATCACTTATTCAGAGCACGGTTTCTCTTCCTTATACGACAACAACACCTACTCGGACAATGGTTACATTTATTAACATCGTGTTTAGGGTACTTATACCATGACTATAGTTTTACTTCTTAAAACATTATGTCAGTATCAAGTCCACGTTTACACTTATTTAGGTCATTTCAATACTTACTTAGACGATCGTTTAACCTACTGAAACCATAATTACACTTAAATAGACCACGATAACACTTACTTATATCATTGGCATCCCTCACCTATATCATGGTAACACTTACGTAGCATTTACTCATACAAGTTGTAATATATCACTTACTCATGGTACTGTTTCATCAAGTGACATTAAACAATCGGATAAGACAGCATTTACTTATGGTACAAGGTCACCAGGGGTCAAACACAAACTAATAATTTTAAGATGTTAAGGGCATCCGATACAGTTTGAAGGGAGTTAACTATTGGCGCAACGTTAAAGCGTTCGAATTCCCGCAAAACGTCACTTTCGGCGGGACGTCATCCGTGTGATTTTCCGTAATAAAAAACTGCTTGAACGGTATTTAGTATAAACGATGCTCCAACTTATGTTTCTTACACACGTCAACTTCTATGCCTTCAAAATTAGTGCTTTTGATTCTAACATTTTGATATATAAAATCACAAGAAATTAAACACTTATTACTGTTTCTGCTGTTCCTGTCTTGAAGGTTCTGAGAGGTCTTGATCAATGAAGTCAACAAAATATCGTATAGTGAACAATCTTAAGACAACTGACCCTTTTGGTGTTAACATAAAGCATGCCAATTATCATTTTTATTATCATTCATTCCTGATGGAATTTTTATTCGGATCCGATTTTCTGACAGCACACAAAAAATAGTTTTACGGCGCATTTTAGTAACAAGCAAAGTCAATATCAATTTGTGTCAAATTTTATATCGAAAGTTCAGATAGCGCAAACGTCCAGTTTTATTCATTGTAATTCCACATCAACACTTCAAAAGAAGTAAATTTCCTCACGGAACATTGTATTCCATTTATTTATATCAAATATGAGAAGACGCAATAATAATGTTATGCCGCAATTAGTTGATACAACTTTTAAAATACTATATAGTAATTTAATAACAAAATTACGCTATAATGAAAGTATTCCGATTTAAATCGAAACTTTTACAAAAAAAAACATGAAATACTAGTTATTACGAGGAGAATGTACGCCAATTTATTAGTACAGAACCAAAAGAGGTAGAGCCATTTTTAAATAAATTTATTACACACTGATAAACTTATTTAAAAGGTCTTTAAATCTGTTAAAAAATCATCACAGCTATACTTTGAGGTTTCTACAACAGTATATGGTATCTCTGAACATATATTAATCAGATTATACATGCTTTAAGTGACTTGCTTTAAAATTGTAATTTCGGACGGCATATGTTGGATATTTGGGAGATGAACAAAAATTACACAAAAACCAAAACCATATGAGGGATGCATGTATAGGTAACATGTCCCGTTTTTTAGATATAAATTGAATCATTTTTGCCAGATCAAAAATTATGAAATATTTCAAAATTATTGTAAAGTTTTCTTAAACTATAGTCATTCACCCGAATAACAATTTGATTTTATGAATAAATGTGAAATTATTAAAAGCGATTACAATGTAAATGAAAGGATGTTTTGGGGGTATGTCCATGAAACAGCATCCCACCAACCAAAACAAAAAACATTTAGAGGTCAACATATGGTTTTCAACAATACACGATTGTGTACAGTTCCGACATGTCTAGCTTTAAATTGCCGCGAGTCTTTAAATTAAGCCGTAAAAAAAATCAACAGTCCGCAATAACTATACCTGAGATGTTTCTCACTTGGAACATGAACATAATAAAAGAGAGAGGTATTTATGATACACACTTTTGTATTTCCAAAACAATATTATAACTTTAAGGTAGCTCTTTATAAGCAATATATAAACACTTGGAAAATGTCGGTGATAACCTTCAAGTTGCAGGAATAATTGGCGGGAGACGTCGACATTGTCAGCAAGCGACGTCGTGCATTTTCGTGCTTACGTTGAGGTTACCAAGGGGGATTTATCTTCGAATCCAGCACGGTGACATATATTTTTTATTTGCTATTTGGAGAAAGCATGACAAAAGACAGTTAATGTAAAAAAAATCAGAAAAATGACATTATAAGAACCTCTCGATTTCCACATTTTAAGGCAAAACAATATCCCACTTTGAGCATCTTATCCGTAATTTTAAGTATGGCTTGAATAATTAACTAGTAATTCTTGACGGGATTTATTTTTCCCTTATTTTCACATATCACAGCTTCAGACTGAACCCAATCTTATCAATTTATGACGAAGAATATCTACTTCAAAATATTTATAACTTTGCTCAACTTTTTTACTAAAGTGCAAAAATCCCCAATTTTCAGCCTCTATTTTCTCGAAAACAAGCACGGTGACCTATGTTTTATTTGGAGATTTATTTTATAACTCCTCCAGGGCTACAACATATTTCAAAATTATAAAAATGACAATTTAAAGTGAAACTGTATTGGATGCCCTTAAAAAACCAAATTAACACATGGTACAGTGTCATCGGGGGTCATATTCACACTTATAATATATCGCTTACTCAAGGTACAGAGCAATCATGGGTCATATTCACACTTATAATATTCCAATAACTCGCGGTACAGAGTCATCAAAGGTCATATGCCACTTACTATGTCATTAACCCATGGTACTGTTTTGGTCATGGTTTATATACCAGTTAACAATATGTAACTTACTCATTGAACTGTGACATCATGAGACTTACATGAGTTTAAATTAGATTAGTTATTACCTCGTTAATTTTGTCTTTATGTGTTGCAACCAACAAGATCTTCGGAATGTCTTTATATACTGGCTTACAATACGTCAGGATGGAATTGACCCAGTGTTGAAGAAAAACTGAAAATATATTAAGTTACAGTTATATCAGTAACAAAGGCTGTGTTGATACATTCATGCTGATTTATATATCTTCAATTTATCGAGGTAAATCAACCATCTGCCAATAACAGACGTAACAAACAAACATCATTTTGCCCAATACACTTGAGAATATGATCAAGGTCGGACTAACTTTGTGTTACAGAACGGGACACTGTAAAATTGTAACCACGACATATAGTTCACGTTTAACTCATGATAATTCATATACTTTAATGAGCAATGACAATTAAGTCAAAGTAAAAATCCTGTCAGAAAGGCGTTAAACACAGCTAACAAATTCCCCGAACCACACATGCATTAAGAGTAAAAAGCACAAACCATATACATGAATTATATAGTATATCTTGTACTGCAGATAGTTTAAAAAAACCATACCATCGGGTGACATAAATGAGTTTGAAATATTTATATTATACTTCGACGTACAAAAAATAATGTACCACTATTGCTACTTTTTCACCTGTATAAATGTTTCACAACTAACACGCTTTTTCAACTTTCAACCACTTGTAAACGTCGAAACGTTTAAAACCAACCAATGTACTCCAAAACATTAACAAGAAAAAAATTTGACTCAGTATATTTAAAGTTTAAGTCTATTTTTCTTTGCCAAATTTTAAAGTAAAAAAGTTGAACTGTGAGCTATTGCTCAAGCATGATATTCTTTATGTAATTAGTTAACAGAAAATTGATAACTGATGGATGCGAAAATAAATCACACAGCTGTATAACATCCACACATGAAGCTTTGATTCCTAATTTCATAGAGCATTGCTCTGTTATTTCTCAGAAAAATGCGTCGTTATTTTTATAAATTGTCATCGGATGTGAGAATATATAAGTATTCGGTTAAAAGAAGAATTGATGAGTGATGGATGTTTAAATGAATCACACTGCAAAATACCAAATTTCCAGAAAATTCGATTGTTACTTCCTGTAGAAAATACAACAAATAGTATGACTACAAAAGACTGGTAGAAACACAAATAATTTGCAAGATTTGCCGCATAGAATATAACATATTGTAAACTATAGAGCATTTTGTTTTGTAATTCATATCTATCTGATGTTCAAACGCATACAATACAGGTTTTACGACTTATGTAACTCATTTAATGAAAAATACCTGCAGGAGTTGGTATCATGTGTTGTCCTGGAAAGCATAACACATCCAGGACCTGATCATGCAATCCTTTGCTTCCATCAATAACCAGCAGAAACAAAGCTCTGAACGTCATAAAGGTCTGATGTGTTGTGTAATAGACATACTGTCCACCAAAGTCCCAGAAGATAAGTCTTCCAACTTTTATCTTATAATTTCCACTCCTGAGGATTTCCTCCATTTTCTTTCTTATTTCATCTTTGGTCATTTTTGATTTCATTTTCTTTTTTGACTGCTCTTTTGTAAGATGCATACTGGAGGAAGGCTTAGGTAACACAGATTGGTCTGCTTTAGTCTGTTGAGAAGGATACCCTGGGATATGTCCAGGGGAGGACGTTGACTTGCTTGCTTCTGACTGCTGTGATACATCACTTGCATGTTTACCACTTGTGCGGCCAGCTTCTTGTATTTCATCTTGTTTACTTTCATCTTCTGCTACAGAGGTCATCAATACCTTATTGTACACAACATCTAGGGCATTGTAAGTTTCTGTGATAAAATAAAACAGAGTAATGTACGTAATAGAAGTTATCGTTTACACAATAACCGCTATTAACCCTGTAATGATTTATATAAATTACCTCTCTTCCTTGCAATAAGGCTTTATTGAATATCAGTTATAATAAGAAACAGGCTGCTACTTGACATCTATTTTTGAGTGTCCTTTTTGTTTATTTTAGCAACATGCAAAAATGGTACGTCGTCTTTTATTTTGCTCTGCAACAACCAAAAAAATTAAATTGAAGCAGATATTAAGTGTGAATTATTGTATGGTTGTGTGTAAATTGACATGTTTTAACCTTCAAACAACCAAATAATGAAGCCGCGTTTGCACAATGACAACCCTTGAGATTTGACAGAGGGAGGGAAATAAACAAAAAAACATTGTCCCTAATTAATGTCAGAAAGTGTAGCATGCAACACCTTATTGCAGTTAAAGTCGCTATTGTCAAAATTTATACATGATAACATGTGCTTATATTTAGAAAAATAAATTTTAAAAGGAAAGTACATGTGATTACAAATATAAACATATTACAATTTGTCTATTTTTACGCATCTTATTAAATACACATGTTGTATTTTGGAGAGTTATTGTAGTTACGTATGTGCTTTATTATTCTTATTTGATCAGTAGAATACACACGATATTTAATTTTAAACTTATTGACAAACGCATGCGTACTGGCCTGCCCATATGTTACATGATCATTTTCTGGTTGACCAATAGTCCATCGAAAAAATATGGGTCATTAGTTCACAGAAAATATATTTGAGCGTCAACACAAGTTTTTTAAAAAAAAATCTGCTAATCTATAAAATGAATGTTCTGCTTTAAGGAAATGAACTGGGAAAATGTTCATAGTTGATTTATGGTTACGAATTAAATACCACTCACTCTGTATAAGATTAAAAAAATAAACAAAAAAATCAAATTAAAGTCCATTGCCTCGGGAAAATATTTTATTTGTGCAGGCGTAATAGCCTTTTTTTTAAACTTGATGTAACAATTGCGAAACCAATGTGTTTGTAAGAGCACTTACAATGCAATTTTTTATATAATGGTACAGAAAAGCGCTTCGGACTCCTGAAATTTATAACGTTTTGTTTTCATTTTTTTTTTCATCTCAAAGGGTAAACCTTTCCTAGATATTGCTGATACTAATCCTTTCTATATCAAATTAATGCAATTATTCGTAAACTTTACATTTCCAAGGGCCATCACTTCATTCAAAATAATTGATCAGCACTGATTTCCAAACTCATCCAAGATATTGTTGATTTACACATCGTTTAATTCAAATTAGGAATCAAATTTCACAAAATCTCCGGTGGCCTCTTTTTAATTTTTAGTGAATTTTCGAAACGAATTTAGTTACCGGTTTCTTTTTCAGGGGTGGTTATTTGAACAATGCTATGTGTGATTTTAAATTCTAATATATCACATGCTATACTGCATGACTTTTGGTGTCAAATGTTTAACAGTATATATTTGTTCCCCTGTATTATCACATTTAAAACATTCTAGATTTAATTTTAATCAATGACTTTTATCTGAAAACTAACTTTTCCTGAGCCCTAATGAATTTTGGAGCATGTTTTTACCACGTTAAATCCAATGTATGAATGTACAGGACGTCACACAACTTTTTCTTGGAATAAATCGTTGATATACACCAATGAGTCAAATACATAACGACAGCAGTACCTACAGAGGTAATCCGGAGGGCAACACAGTACATTGTGTAAGGCTGAATTGCAACAAGACCCGTCCCATTATGATTTATTGGTTGGCTGTAGGGTGTTAAACTTTAAAGACAATAGTTTGTCAATGTCATATATGATAATACCATGATACGTACTTAACAGATCATGATATTAAACCTCCTGAGGCTGGTGTTTATCATACTTATACTGACACTGGTGTTCAACATACTGATACTAGTGTTTAACATACTGAGTTGGTAATTAACATACTGAGACAGATATTTTACATACTGACGCTAAAGTTTAGTATACTGAAGTTAGTATTTTACATGCAAATATAATGAGCCTAGTGATTAACATACTGAGGCTTGTGTTTGATATACTGAAACTGGTATTTAACAGTCTGAGGCTGGTGTTAAACACAACGAAGCCAGTTAATTATATGCTGATACTTGTATTTTACTTATGTGGGTATGAGTGGGAGTCCTTCATTTCTGTATTCCTAAATGTTTTCGCTCATTCATCTTAATCTTTTAAAATAATGTCTATTCTCTAATTACCTGATAACTGTATTCTTGACATTATTATTTTCTGTAATCAGTGTATAATACCCAAATCTTTAATTTTGGCAGTTATTCTTTATATCTTAGCACCCCATTATTATCTATTCTTTATTTTTTTGCCCAGTTTTGTTTATTCTTATTTTTCCCCCATTATTCTCTATTCTCAAACCCCCATCCACATCCTCACTTATTCAGGCTATTACTTAACATGCTGACGATAGTGTAAACACACAACTGATGGTATTTAACATTCTGAGGCTCGGGTGTGTAAACTTGCTTTTGTAAGTCTTAAAGTTGTGTTAAAGGTGCAAGCTGTTTCATGTGTTTATTATACAGGATTAGCAGGATATGCCTCAGGTCATTTAAACTGTAATTAGGAGAACCCTTTGGATTATTATACCATAAGGATTATGCAATTGATTATAATTGCTAACAAAATTGGCGGGAGATAGCAAAACGCAAAACAAATTTTGACAATGGCGGGGATCATTTTTCGATGGCGGAAGATAATTTAACGATGGCGGGGATCATTTGACGATAGCGGAAGATACTTAGCCATCATAAAACAGGTCATGGAGATCCCTATTACTTAAGCATGCCAATCAATTTTCCAAACATTATAATGATGGTGTTTAACATTCAGATGCTATTGTTTAACATGTCGTAATTGATGTTTAACATGTTTAACATGTGAAGCTGGTATTGAAAATATGAAGGTTGGTTTTAAACATATTTAGACAGGTGATTCATATACTGAGACTGGTATTTAACATGCTGAGGCTGGTGTTTAATATACTGAATCTGGCATTTTTCAAACTGAGCCTCGTGTCTGAATATACCGAGGCTGGTTTTCAATATATGTAAGCTCAACTTAATGAGGTTTGTGTTTAGCATTATGAGTCTGGTGTTAAACATACTGAGGCTGTTTTATGATATACTGAACTAGGTGTTAAACTTATTGAGGCTTGTTATAAGCAGCTTGAGGCTAGTGTTTAACGTGCAGAAACTGGAGTTTTAAATATATAGTCTAGTGCATAACATACATAGTAGCACCTAGTGATTCACATACTGAGACTGGTGTTCAACATGCTTAAGCTCAAGTGTTTAAGAATGCTTTAATTTTAAACAAAAGTATGCCTATCAATTTTCCGACCAGTATAAAGATAGTGTGTAACATGCACAGGCTGGTGTTTAACATAGTGAGGCTAGTGTTCAACATACTGAAGATGCACCTATTTAAACTAAGATAACACTCACTTATATCGTACTTAGTCAATGGTAAAAATTATTAGCCATGGCTACAATATTTAGACCATAGTTATAATATTGAGACCATGATAACAATACTTACGTTGTTATTTATTCGTTTGATGTGTTTGAGCTTGTGAGTTTGCCATTTGATTAGGGACTTTCCGTTTTGAATTTTCCTTGGAGTTTGGTATTTTTGTTATTTTACTTTTCCGATACTTAAACCATAGTTTCATTTACTAAGACGATGTTTACAATTCTTCGTCTTTGGGTAAAACACTTTGTATATGGTTACAATACTTAATCCATGGTTACATTACTAAGACCATGAAAGCAGTACTTAGTCCATTGACAAAACTTACTAAGACCATGGTAACATTTTCTTATACCATGGTTTCACTCACTTAGACCATGGTATCACTTATTCAGAGCACGGTTTCTCTTCCTTATACGACAACAACACCTACTCGGACAATGGTTACATTTATTAACATCGTGTTTAGGGTACTTATACCATGACTATAGTTTTACTTCTTAAAACATTATGTCAGTATCAAGTCCACGTTTACACTTATTTAGGTCATTTCAATACTTACTTAGACGATCGTTTAACCTACTGAAACCATAATTACACTTAAATAGACCACGATAACACTTACTTATATCATTGGCATCCCTCACCTATATCATGGTAACACTTACGTAGCATTTACTCATACAAGTTGTAATATATCACTTACTCATGGTACTGTTTCATCAAGTGACATTAAACAATCGGATAAGACAGCATTTACTTATGGTACAAGGTCACCAGGGGTCAAACACAAACTAATAATTTTAAGATGTTAAGGGCATCCGATACAGTTTGAAGGGAGTTAACTATTGGCGCAACGTTAAAGCGTTCGAATTCCCGCAAAACGTCACTTTCGGCGGGACGTCATCCGTGTGATTTTCCGTAATAAAAAACTGCTTGAACGGTATTTAGTATAAACGATGCTCCAACTTATGTTTCTTACACACGTCAACTTCTATGCCTTCAAAATTAGTGCTTTTGATTCTAACATTTTGATATATAAAATCACAAGAAATTAAACACTTATTACTGTTTCTGCTGTTCCTGTCTTGAAGGTTCTGAGAGGTCTTGATCAATGAAGTCAACAAAATATCGTATAGTGAACAATCTTAAGACAACTGACCCTTTTGGTGTTAACATAAAGCATGCCAATTATCATTTTTATTATCATTCATTCCTGATGGAATTTTTATTCGGATCCGATTTTCTGACAGCACACAAAAAATAGTTTTACGGCGCATTTTAGTAACAAGCAAAGTCAATATCAATTTGTGTCAAATTTTATATCGAAAGTTCAGATAGCGCAAACGTCCAGTTTTATTCATTGTAATTCCACATCAACACTTCAAAAGAAGTAAATTTCCTCACGGAACATTGTATTCCATTTATTTATATCA